CTTAGGGGCTGGATGCCTTTAGGTCTACTTCAATGTTGGAGAGGCCAGGCTACCATAGTGCCCCCCAGACACCCCTCAGTGGTACTCCCATGGTCTTCCCTCCTCAGCAGGCAGCACTCTCCAAACCTTACTTAGTCCCTAAAGCCAACAGCCCAAATTGGCCTATGCCTTCTGGAGCCAGGGACGCTTTTGAATTGCTCTAAGGTGATGGGGCTTCCAGGGGGCACCCAGAAGTAGGTCCCAGGAAGAGGAAAACCATGGAGTTTAAGCTGGATATTCCAGACAGCCCCAGAGACCATCCCAAAGAAGTGCATTTGGACCAAGTGCCAAGCAACATACACACTATGCTCAGAGTATGTAGATCCCCATCCTGTCCCAGAAAACAGGTCTGTCCACCCAAACCAGGGCCTGCATTCCCTGGAGCATGATTCCATTTCTCTGAGCCTTCCTCCAGTTTCACAGGATTTCATTAGTCAGTGTATGGGGGAAATCAATGGCCTCACAGGGGCCAGCCACCTTGGCAAGAACCCGAGAGGTGGTGGAAGGCTTTTATTTACCTCACCTAAGAGTTTGACATCAGCCCGTCCTGAAAGGAAATGAAGAAAGATTGCCCTGACATGCTGAAGGGCTTCCTCAGGCTTAGATGGGCCAGTGTTATCACTGGGATCAGTTCACTTTGTGTAGGGATGGCTGACAGCCATGAGGTAGAACTCAAGACTCTAACCAGGCTATAGCCCAAGAACTGAATTCAACTGCCCAGTTAGCTAGATGGCACATCCAACACTTGCCCAAAGCTCAGCATGGTGGTAGCCAGCTCTCTAGAACAGGTGGTGGGTGCTGCCTTACCCTGTGGCAGTATGGCTTCCTGGGATGCCTTCTCTGTACTTTGGTGACCACCCCTAATACTTTCAATTTCATGCTTCCTTAAGCCTAAACTATTTCCCTTTATTATAGATCTCTTGAACACTTTTGCAGTTAGCAGTTCTATCCCCATCTCAATCACGTGGGTTAGTAACATAACTTCCCACTTCTACTCTGAGATCAACAACCACTTTTTGTTTATAGAAACCAAAAAGGGCAACCATTTCAGACTCACTTCTAGGGCTAGACATTTTTACAAACTACCCCAGTCTCCGAAAGAAGGCATGTGTAAGGCCCGACTTGACTTTTGCCCTACTACAAAACTGAGCCTTACACAGGTATACCTTCATTCACATGCTGTGAACTTTCTGACCTTCACAGGGATGATGCTGGCACGTCACCTGTTTCTGAAGTGTAATGCTGGGTCCTCACCTCCATGGATGCCAGCAGGAACCACACAACTGTCTACACACAAGAGCAGAATGTTCCTGGACAGTCTGGCATGTGCTAACTCCTGTCTGAATTCAAGACACCTGTACCTCTCCTCAACTAAGTTTAGTAAATATAAATACTCTTCTAGGTTTCAGTGGGGTCAATGTATCTGATATTGAAGACAATGGAAAACGGCATACTTGCCCCCACAGTGTGGTTTGTCTCAATCTCAAAGGCAACAACTGGGCACCAAATTTCTTTATTTGAAGGAATGGTACAAATTAAAGAACTTAAGCTGATGTTTTGGTACAACTTATAGAAAAGGGAAAGGTAGCCCCCACATGCATGCACTGCCTCAGTGACTTGTGAAGTCACTCCGTGGCTTTGGGGAAGTCAGCTTAGCTCTCATTATCATGTCCCAGGGTGTGCTTGTCAAAGAGATATTCTGCCATGCCAGATTCAGGGGCTCCCATCTTGCGCAAGTTGGTTACATGGTCACCCAGTTCTTTGATGGATTTCACCTGCTCATTCAGGTAATGAGTCTCAATGAAGTCACACAACTAGAAAAGAGAACATGGAAGGTTACTGATAGCTTTCCCAAGCCCTGTGGCAAATAATTCCCTCCATTTACCACCTTGGGTTCCTAATACTCACATGGGGGTCATTTTTGTCAGTGGCCAGTTTATGTAGTTCCAGTAGTGACTGATTCACACTCTTTTCCAAGTGCAATGCACACTCCATTGCGTTCAGCCCGCTCTCCCAGTCATCCCGGTCTGGTTTCTGCATGAAAGGTTTGGTCAATACACCTGAAGGTCTAGCATGCTGACACTAACACCATGCTCTGGGACAAAAGGGGTGTCTTAAGCTTCCTCTGAGAACAGCTTTCCATGGAACATGCTTTCCCACTGCTGTTTGCTTATGGGTATGGGCCCAAGAAAGTACAAGGGCCAAAGTCCAGTGTGCCAAGTGACTGCTCCTCTGTGCTGCACGCGGACCCTTTGCTCACCTTGATATCCTGCAGGTAGATGCGGCCACCACGCTGGTTCTGCAGCTTCATCAGTTTCTCAGCATGTTGCCGCTCCTCATGAGATTGGTGGAGGAAGTATTTGGCAAAGTTCTTCAAAGCCACATCATCGCGGTCGAAGTAGCAAGACTGAAGTGGAATGGGTACACGTCATGGATTCCCACAGGAAGGCAGCTCGACAGACTGCAGTTAAAGGCTGTTCGCTACTCTAATTTGTCTTTCTCAAGGCACAGTTGGGCTGTGTTCCAACAGTAATTTATTTCATTTTGAAGGAGAAAATTGAACCTGATTCTTTAAAGAGCCTTTACCTTATAATGGGAATTGCCTCTAGCAAACATTCTATGGTTCAGTACTAATGCACAAAAATTTCTTAAGCTAGGGCCCAAATCTGCTTGTCTGAGGGGAAGGACACTGGCTAGAGACCCCACACTGGTCCTCAGTTTTTCTTCTTTCCTGCTCATGTTAAAACCGCTAAAATAGCCCACAATCTTGGCAGCCAGGCAGCAGACCACTGACTAAAAAGGCAAAAAAATTATTATTTATGTGTATATGTGAGTACAGGGTACAGGAGGTCCAGAGGCATCATCTCCAGAGTGACACAGACACCCAGGCCTGTTTCAGATTCATTTGGAATACATTTATTTTTGAATACTTTGCACATTCACAAGGCAATTCGAAGGATGCCTCCCGATTCCAGGGATTACTGCACGGAACCTTTCCTTGACCAGTAAACCGGTGGTGGGCTCTCCCAGTAACTACCACTTCAGTTAGTGAGCCACAACTCAGGGAGGAAAAAAAAAAAGTACCCCGGGGGCCTTGGAGGCGCAAGGTCAGGTGACGGAGAGGACTGCAGACGGGGAGATTGCTAGAGGTAATGTTTCCATACCAGTGGGGCTCTGCCATAAGCAGAATGGAGAGGTGGAGAAGGCGGCTCAAGGGGTCCCGAATAAATTCACAAGAGATAAGCCACTCTGCAGCTGGACCCGCCAAACAGAGAGGAATGGGGGCTGGATGGTACTGAGCCGCCTACGTACCACGTGATCGGAGATGGAAGGGACGAGAGCAAAATAGCACTTTCCTAACTGCACGGTTGTTTGGACAGTTCAGTTGTGCAACCCTGACCCTTCAATAAACTTGGGGGTGTGCAATGGCGCACCCCGTCTATGCCAAATGCTCAGACCTCCTGCGCCAAGGGTGCCCGGGGAGCCGACTCCACTTTCCCTTAGGACGCCCGGAGGCGGGGAAGCCGCGCCCCGCCCCGCCCCGCCCGGTTTCCCAGCGAGGCTGCGGGGGAAACCGCGGCCCGCTCCAGCCCCAGGCCCCGGGCGCTCACCATGGACAGGCAGACGAAAGAGGGGGTAGAGCTCCAGGTTGATCTGGCGGTTGATGGCCGCTTCCGAGTCCTGGTGGTAGTTCTGGCGCACCTGAGACGGGGACGCGGCGGTGGTCATGGCGGCGGCTGCTGTGCTCGGAGCGGCGGCTGGGGGCAGGTGAGGGCGAGCGCCGGTTCGGTTCAAGCACTGTTGAAGCCAGAAACCGCGGAGACTCTCTTATAGCCGGAGTCGCGTCAGGCGCGCCCGGGCCAATCAGCAGCCCGCCGCCGCCCGCCCCTTCCGGTGGGTTCGGGCTGGGCGGCGGGGGGGGTCGTGTCCTGGGTGGGGCGGGCGACGCGG